GTGCCCTTGACCCTTCCACGATTACATTAAAACNCTACCCAATTTAGTACGTAGGTTTGGGGAAGTTTATATAGTTGTAGTAATTGGGGTCGATTCTCTTATTCTCTCCCAAAGCCATTATTTGAATAAGGTATAATCTATTCTTATCCATCTTTTCAATTTTATTATATGGTCTTTATTTTTTTTGAATTTTCATTATTAGAAAGCTAATGGATTAAATTTCTTTTTGATTTGTATTCAAATTTACAGCAAAACTTTTATGCATGTGATTTGAACTATAGTTTTTTTTGTATTTAATTTAATGGCAAAATTTTCAAATTTGTGTCTGTAATTCTAACTTTTTTGGAATTAGCAATTAACTTCATCATCATCATTAAAGCCTTTTCCCAACTAATTGGGGTCAACTAGGAGTCAACAATTAACTCACTATTTATTATTTTATATTATTACTAATGATTTACTTTTGTCGGGGACATTTAGACTTCCTTGCTTTTTATTAGCTTTTCCCTTTGTATTTTGACAGACTCTAATGTTGTCCTTTAGAAATTTTTTCGTATTCAATGTTTAAAGAAATAGCCTTTTCTATTTTTATTTGTGATTTAAATTCTCAAAAGCAATAAAGAATTTTATCAGGATTTAATAATTATTGACTAATTACGTATTACCACCATCCAATATTTTAAAACTTTTGTGGTCTTAACCCAAAATAGATAGCAAACCAGTTTTGTTTCTTTCTTTTTTCTATGCTTCAAAAAATAGTTTGAGTAAATATTTTATTTTCTAAATTATGATTTTTTATGTATCAATTTTGACAAATTTTACTTTTTCCAATATTTTGAAAACGATTTTAATTATAATTTTAAAATATAAATTAGTTTCAAAAGCTTTTCTATTTAAAATTATGGATTTTAATTTTTTTATTCTATTAGTGACTCAGTAATCCTTTTACTTATGTCCTTTAAAGCATAAAAAGTGCCTTCTTTCATATCTTTACCAATGATTTCCTTTTGTTGTGAGCATTTTTGCTTCATTTTTTTTTTAAAAATTTACTATTAGCTCTTTCATGGGTGTTTAATTGCAATTTCAATGTTGTCTTTTCAGAAAAATAAGCAATCGGCATCCATATTTTCATAATTACTTAAATAACATTATACATTTTAAATATTTCTTATATCCTTATAAAATTAAATATAAATAGTTTTTAATGCCAGGTTTTATTATTAAGAATTTTCAAATTTTAAAACTACAGTATATTATATTTTCTACAAAATTTAGAGCATCAATTTCAAAAACGCCTATGTTTTTAAATTATAGTTTACAAATATCCTTATGGATTCTTTTATTTTTGGATTATGTTTTTTTTATGGCTTGAAATTGTTGTATATGTGTATTTCTCCTTTTTAAAGATTTTTAAAAAAATTACAAATGAGCCATATTGTATATTATCCATGTGTAATATTTCATTCATGATGTCGTTTCTGGATTGCTATGTTTGTAGCGAAGGTAACATAATTTATCTTTGTCATTCAGAATTTTAACATACCATGCCAACTTTGCTGCAATTATGTTTGAGTTTCAAGATCTTTTATATATTTGAATTTTGAGTTTCAACTTTGCTGCAATAAATTTGATATCTTATTACAACAGTTAATTTCAAAAAAACAAAAAATGCTTTCAAAATTTCCTTTATATTTGAGAAAAATTTAATATAGAAAAAGACATATTTTTTATGAAAATTTTCATTCGTTGAGAATAACTTATGACCAATTACTAAATTTCTTATAATGATCCTTTAAATACGTTGCATAATTTATGATATTTTTCTTTAAAAGTAAGAAATAAGAAAATGTTTGGTTTATTTAAATAACTATATATTTTAAATAAATTTTTATGCTTCTAAAAATAATAAATTTCTAAAACTTTTCCATGTATGATTTCTTAAATCTTTGAAATAAAATTGTTCTATATACTAAAAACAAAAAGAATACCAGTGGTAAAATCTTTTTAAATTCTCAATTCTAGATTTTCATGGTTTCCGATTATATTGGATATGATATATGTACATGTTTACAAATGAGTCCTATAATATAGTAGCAATATCTTCTATATGGCAAAATATCTTCTATATGAACTTTTCGTATTATTTACATGTTATACTTCTAAACTTAAAAGTAGAAGTCCTTGTTATAGAAAAAACGTGCCATTATTCAATTTTTGATCTATATTAATGTATTGTCTCTGATTTATTGAACTTTATTTTCATATATTGTTCTATTAGATGAGATTGTCTAAAGTTTTGTGCTAGTCTTTAGCATATGGGAAGATTGTCTCTGTAAGAGGAGTGGAAGCCAATACCATGACAGTGCTCAAGGTGGGTTTGGAAGAGGGGGGAAATGGTGATACTTGTGGTATTGGAATTTGTGGGTGACTTATTTGGGGAGGTGGACAAGCCGAAATTGAAGTTGAGAGTCAAGGGATGCTCCTTGAAAACCTATGGGTACTTATGAGAGGGGCATCCCTGTTGGACCTAGAAATCAGGGACTAGAAAAAGGTAATAGTTTGGGGCTTCATGCTGTCTAAAGGTGTTTGACACACAGAATGTACGGACTCTCCTGGCTGTTAATCCTTGGCCAATCTTTGAGGGGAGGATATCTCAGATAGCTGGTACAGACAATAGATGTGAAGGCAAACATGTATAAGTTTTGGGAGACCAATCAAGTGATGGAATCTGAGTTATACTTTTTACATTTTCGAATAATCTTTGAACTGTCTTTTAAGAAAATAAGGTGAGATTTTTACTTTTATGTACCATATATCTAATTGCTTTCCTCATTAATTGGAGATTTTCTCTTCTCTTGTTCATGTCTACAAACTTAAAATGATAGACTGATGATGTTATTGTGTGTCTCTTCTCTCATCTGATTGCTTCAGCCACAGAAATTTACAGCACTAATTTCAGCATACTGTATTTCCATCACTGTCCAAAAATAAAGTGACCCACTTTTGTTGTGTAGCTTGGATATTTACTTTACATTTGCTTCAGGATGTTCTGTATTCTTGGCTATGGAAAATTGTTTTTGACTGGTCCTCCCTCCCTTCATGTGATGTAAATATGATGCCATTCTCTATTATGCTTTCCATATCAGAGGAAATGTATCTTGTGATTAGTTCTTAAAATAGTAGTTATGGATTTGTTCTTAAAATAGTAGTTATGGATCTAACAAGGCTTGGTTGGTTTCAATACATGATAGGAAATTTGGAATAGTCCATATTCAAATGAAAGCTTTCCAGTCTATGCCGAAGATATTGATGCTGGGGGAGATGCATCTCCGTCAACCCTAATGTTGTCGGAGGCTGCTTATCGTCTTGGGATCACAATTGTTGGCGGGTCCATACCAGAGCGTTGCGGTGATCAACTGTACAATACCTCTTGTGTATTTGGCGCTGATGGAAAGCTAAAGGCTAAACACAGAAAAGTAAGGTGTAAACTCCTCTTTTTGATGTGGTTCCATAAGAATTTACTTGTGATAAAAAAAAGGAACTTGCATAGCCATAATAAAATAGGTGGATATTGCTTGTGCCTGTTCTCATGGCATTTTCTTCATTTGTTCTCTCTTTCTTTCATAGCATAATCAAAATTTGTTGCATTGAAATATTTACATATGGATCAAAACAAGGTCATCAAAAGCTGGATATGGACTCAAGTGTGCTAGGGGTGTTCATTGCACTATGCATGTTGATGGGGTTTTGATGCCGTCGGATCACTTCCAATGCAGTCAATAAATATGAAAAAAACATAAATATTGAGTAAACGAAGAATATCATGGATGTATCATTTTTTGATGGTAGGCACTTTAGTTCAATATGTGTCTGTGGCATATCAGTTGCCTGAGTCACTGATGGGCATGATAAGGAGTAATAAAGACATGTTCTTTCTCTACTAACAAGTAAGATAAGGAGTCCGACCAGTGTTCGCAAAATCGAGCCGGAACGGTTAACCGGACATGGGCTTGGAAATGGTTTAACTGGCCTAACCGGTAAACCGGTTGATTCAACCGCTCTAACTGGGGAAGTCCCGGGCAGTCAAAAAAGTGTTGAAAAAAAATAAAAAAATACAAAAGAAAAAACTACTAAAAAATGAAAAGCATATAAAGAATGATTAAAACAAAACTCATTTGAAAATTAACGAAAAAAATGGATTTTAACCCATTTTATATTTTCCAAGGGCTATTTTAAAAAATTTCTAAAAAAAATGGGAAAAATAAAAGTAAGTATTACTGCCCAAAACAATTTTTAATCTTTACCATAATGTAAATAATATTTAAAAATGCATTACAAATCAAATTCCTTATTTTTGAGAATTTATTTACATTTTTTTGATTTTTTTTTTTTAAAATGCCGGTTGATCACCCTAACCACCCAAAACCGGAACCGGCCACTGGCCAGTTCCAATCTAACTGGTCAGTTAGCTGTTAGATCGGACGATTTTACGAACAATGAATCCAACTCATTTATTTAATTGAATAAAACACAACGGAACATGTATATTCTCAAGTTACCAACCAGGCATTAAAAAAGATAAATAGTATCTAGCAACTAAGAAAGATACAATAGTTTCTAGCCACTAAGAAATATACAATACTTTCTAGCAACTAAGTATACTGTAGCATATAGCCATAACCCAAAATAGTTTACAGGAAAGAGTCTAATTGTCTAAAAGTACCTCACAAGTACATAGCATGCTAAGACTGAAAGTTCGTGACATAGAAAATAACTCTTCACCAAAAATCCATCAAAAAATAGTACGAAAATTGACTAGAACTTTTGCCCAAAGAATCGATAAATTTTATCAAAATCATCGAAATAAATTCTTGATTTCATTTCATTTAATCCCCTTAGAACCATGAAAGTGGTTCTAGGCTTCTGGGAGGAGGTAAGGGTATATACCCACCCAACACTCTTTAGAAAACCCCTTATCTACCTCCCCTCCCCTCCCCCTCCCTGTCCCTTCCCCCCCCTCCTGGTGTTGATCCCCGCTCTTAGGCATTGTTTGGCCCCCTTGCAGGTTTCTGCACATGTGGGTGCACTTTGAGTCGTGAGCCCCATGTATAAGGGTGATGCATTGCTTAAGCAGGTGTCATGCTAACCCAAATAGGCAGGCATATGCCGTATGCCCATGGAAATCAGCTTTGATGTGGCTGCATAAAGCATCAGGGGGTGCATTTGATAACTATGAAAACATCTGATCAAAGTGTGCAATGATGTACAGATACATCTTTTTGACATTGATATTCCGGGAAAGATAACATTCCAGGAGTCCAAGACTCTTGCAGCAGGAACAACTCCTACCATTGTAGATACAGGTGTGCCATAACTCTAATTCTTCTTTATCGAATTTACTTGTATGATTCTGCTGAATGGACATTTCAAGTTTGGAGGATTTATGCTTAGGTGGAAGACATTTTGGCATACTTGAAAATGCTAGAGACACACACACACATACACAAATAGTGGTGCGTTGGATGATATTCTAGACTCTTGGTTACTTGAGCATCAGAAGCTTGTGAAAGGAGAGAAGATAAACAAGTTTCTGTTATTTGATTCTGAAAGTGTTTATTGTTTTTAGCCAAATTTTGGAATTTAAATGTATTCATAACTCCCTTTCAATCTATTATCCATGCAATGGACTTGCCATAGTCCGGGATCCATCTTCTCATTTTAACGTAAGATCATCAAATAAATGTTTTAGTTTTGTTTAAAATAGAACTGACAAGCAATATTTGGTTGCAGATGTAGGACGCATTGGTATAGGAATTTGTTATGACATTCGCTTCCAGGAGCTGGCAATGATATATGCAGCAAGGGGTCAGTTTCTTTCTTATCAGCTTGTGAAGTGTTGTTATTTACATGCTTCATATGTTGTTTTATCTGATCCATACTTAAGATGGTACTACTAATTAACCCTCAAAAACTTTCACATTGGATATATATGGACTTTGTTGTTTGTTAAGGTGGTACTACTAATTAGCCCTCAAGAACTTCATATTGGGATATATATGGACTTTGTTGTTTGTTAAGGTTACCATAGTTTATGAAGAAAAAGTGTGTGAAGATTTGGCTTAATGCATGCAATTATAATTTTCCTTGTGATATATCTGGGAAACAAATTCCACCACCTGCTAGTGAGCCTCTACAACTCAGGGTATTTGCTATTTTTGCTAATAAACCGCAATACTTAAAGGAATTTTTTTCCACCACCCACCTTGAAATCAGTAGCATTTGGTGATTGGTTGGCTTCACAAGCTTGGGAGAAGGATGCTCCATTTCCTTTTGCTTCATCTTGACAGATTTCTTTTTAAAAGATTTATCATTACTATTAACAGTATTTGACATTTCTTTGATGCTTGTATTATTCCATATGACAGGTGCTCATCTGTTGTGCTATCCTGGGGCTTTTAACATGACCACTGGTCCCCTGCACTGGGAACTGCTACAAAGAGCTAGGTATTTTCAATTTCAAGTTTATTTCTTCAACTAATTTTGCAATGATAGGCCTGAGGATGGATCAGGTATATACTGTTTTTAGATGATGACCCGTATTTTCTTAAAAATAAAAAATAAAAATCTGACATCCTAAAAGCAAGATGATTTAAGATGTATAAAAAGTGCAAAAGGATCTAATTAACTTAGAGTTCAAGGTCAAACATTTCCTTTTGGCTGGTTATGATAGAACACCTATTGTAACAGAAGGAATCAGAACTTGGAATTGAATGCTAACTAAAAGTTTTCCATTTTACTTGCACAAAATTTCCAATTTCTTTTCATTGCCAATAAGCATTGTTTAAAAAATTGTCCCACCTGTCTCGCCTTGCACCTGGGCATCTGCCCTGCTCTGCCTTATGCCAGAGTGTCCTGCCTAGGCTGGAGGGGCCTCCCGGGGCGCCATGTCCCTGGGAAGGTGCCATGTGCCTAAGCTGAGGTGCTGCCTCCGTCATCCTTGCCGGAGGGTGGAAATTATCCTTTGGCAAGGAGCATATGTCTTTTTTTTCCTCTAAAGGGAGAAAAAGGATGGTGGGATTGGTATTCTGATCCCCTCTAACTTTCTTTTAGGGTTTTAGAAACTCTTTGAGGGTTTTAAAAGCAAGTAACGTCAAGTTTCTTGGATTTCTTAAGTTTTCTTGAGATCAAAAAATTCAAAGAGCCCAACTTCGTTTTTTTTTGGGACTGAATGCAAACTATCAAGAGAGGTTACAAGAGGAATTTTGGGTGATAGAGGAACTTTTTGGGTTGTTCAGACATGGTTGTATGTATGTGTGTCTGGGGTGCCTTGAACTGAGGCCCCTACCTAGCACCTAGGTCAGAACCCCTCTGGCTAAGCTTAGCCTCCTTTATAAGTACATGACTTAATGCTTTTCTGTCATTGCATATGTACCACTGAGTCCAATGCTTTTCTGTCATTGCATATGTACCACTGAGTCCAATGCTTTTCTGTCATTGCATATGTACCACTGAGTCCACACAACAGGGCTGTTGATAATCAGGTACTATCCTTGAACATTTTACTTTTAAGGGCAAAACAAAAAAGAGACATTATATTTTCCTTTTTGTTACTCAAGCAGTTTTGATGTTGAGATCCAGCATCTTATAAATGCGCATTTCTTGTTTCCATAGTGACAGCTATTTTTTTTTTTGGTGATCGTAAGTGACAGATATATGTTGCAACTTGCTCTCCTGCTCGAGATGCTGGAGCTGGCTACACTGCTTGGGGCCATTCCACTCTTGTCTCACCAGTAAGTAAATCAGTCAAGAAATCATTCAAAATGCTTTCTCATCTTCTCTTTATTTTCCTTCTTCCAAAATTTTGTTCCATTTATGACTTTTTTTCATTCTTTACAGTATGGGGAATTGATTGCTACAACTGAACATGAGGAGGCAATTGTTGTAGGGGAGATCGACTACTCACTGATAGATCAAATAAGGTTGGCTGATCAAGAAATTCCCAAGAAGGGAAAAAATAAGATTCTGGATATTAGTTTCTTTAATTGATCTCTTTTTTTCCCTTCTTAGGAATTTCTTGATCATTAATTTTTTCCTTAGTTTTTTGCTTTACATTTAATGCAGAATGGGCCTCCCCCTCCAGAAGCAACGGAGAGGCGATCTTTATCAGTTGGTGGATGTAGAGAGATTGAGTTCCGAAGAAAAGGGCCATTAAACTCTTGTACTGCCCCTTGTTGGTCCTGAGGGACAGAGGCGGCTAGGTTAGCCGAAAGGTGAGTGGAAGTCTCAGTTGGTGGATGTAGCGAGATTGACTTTTGAAGAAAAGGGCCATTAAACTCTTGTACTGCCCCTTGTTGGTCCTGAGGGACAGAGGAGGCTAGGTTAGCCGAAAGGTGAGTGGAAGTCTGCCTATATCTTACAAAGACCTGTGAACTACGAAGTTCACTTGATGTTACTTATATTTCCTGAACCTTTTAGACCTATTCTTTGTTGAGAGAATTATTGTTGAGACTTTTTAAATTAGATGTACAGCTTAATGCAGAATTTCTGGATTATCAATATTTTTCTTCAACTTCTTTATCAGTAACTGGCTTCCATAACTAAAAAAAGGATTAAGCGGAGTGAAAATTCTGGTACAGTCTTTTGTTTATTCACCAGCTTTTGACCTTGTCCTCCCAAAGTTGAGCTGTGAAAATTCTGGCTCAGTTTTTTGCATGTCCACCAGCTTTTGTTCTTGTTATCAGAAAGATTGCAGAATTTTAAAGTGCTATAAGATGCAATCAAATTTTGAAGTGGTATAAGGTGCAGTCTAATAAGTTTTTCTTTCTTTTTTTTTTTTCCCTGAAAGAATTGTCTTCTACCCATGATTTCATCCACATGAATATGGTCACAGGGCAGATTAGATTTCAGTGGCATAAGGTATGAACTTGTCTTTTAACAATACAGAACTTTAAGTTGTGTTCACTCCATGAGGTTCTACCCGGGTCAAAACCTCGACCTTGTTTGGGTCCTGCCCGATCTGATACCCACCCCTGGATCCCCATGTTAATGTGCGTTTAAAGCACATTTTAAATTTTGAATTGGCATCCTGGATGATTTCTATAGGGAGTGTATTAGACAAGACGTGTGTCTGATGTAAATGGACCGTCCATGAACCATTTGCTTTCATCATGGGGCGGTGTAAATTGGCCAGTGTTCTACGTCCAAAGTCGTTATGAGGATCTAGGGTTATCTCCACCGTTTGATGATGAGGATGGACACATGGCCGGTCTGTGTACCCTATATTATACATGCAACATGTGCATATGGTATAAGAGCCCCTGAAAGGAAATGCACTTAGGCTCTCTCTCTTTATATATATATATATATATAGTAATTGGTATGGATCCTATGAGACCCCCTCCCACACCTATCACACCTATATGTGTAGGATTTCAAAGGATAACTATTAAATTGGAACGGATCTCATAGAATTATTACTCATATATATATATATATAGCTATATATATGTGGAAAATCTTCCTGTTAGTCCAAGGGTTAACTGGAAGACATGAGTCCAACGGCCCAGATTGAATCTGGGTCGATCTGATTATCACAGACACTTGATAGTGTTTGAATTTTAATATTTTTTTACAAATCCAAATCACTTGAAATTTTAGG